GATAGATAGATAGATAGATAGATAGATAGATACTCATGTAAGATGGTACCAGAAGGGCCAGACTTGTTTGGCTCTCCAGAATCCAAAGGTTTGAGTTTGGATCCTACTTTCCTACTTACAAACTGAATACTAGTGTTTACTGATCTTGCAAATACCTCAAATCTTAGTTTCCAGAAATCTGTCTCAACTATCATTGTGTATAAATCCATCACTTAATGACTTAAGGGGAAACAAGAGCTTTGTCACTATAGTGTTTGAAGCAGAGAAGCAGTAAGACAGAGACATTGCTGATCACAAAGGCACAGGGTAGATTTACAAAGAAGGGAACTAAGCACATAGTGCCTACCAGTCTACTTCTCAAGAACCACCCACCCCCCGAACCAAGAGGCATTTTACTTGGTAGGGAAAGGGGAGGCAGGAAGCTCTTAGAGGCCCTCACTCATGCCAAACACATGTAAGAAACTCACTGCTAGAGAATGCTTCAGCCCTCTCAGGCCCTGAGACCAATCTGGGCAGCTGCCATGCTACTAGCTCACTACACTGCTCCAGACAAAGGACGGCACCAGGTTTTTGCCCCACAGCATGCACGCCCTTGTTGCCTGACTCCAGAGCCCCAGCCTAGGATTTGGTGAAGCACCTAAGTAGTTGTCCCAGTGGTTCTAATGACCCAAGGCTGCAGCCCAGGAAGGAGACCTCGCTGACCCTCCACAGCCCTGGGAGGAGCACTGAAGGAGCACAGTCCCACCACTGTGCCAGCAATCACCCATGCAGCCTTAAACACTGACAGGCACCTACCTCCCTATGGAGCACACTGAGCTACACCCATCTGGGCCGATGTCGATGGCCCCAGACTCAAAGGACACCTGGCCACACCATTCGGAAGTTGGTGTGACTACTGAATCATCTTCCCTCTGTGGAATCACCGGATGTTAACTGGATAGATGCAGGATATGAGAAACAGAGAGAATTCTCTACCCACTCACAGTTCCAGCCTCACTAGAAGGTT